GTCCTTAATTGATGTCTCTTATATGCTTCAATGTCGTTGCAGGCTTCTCGAACTATATACGTGCCGTTGTCTTTCTCGTCATCATTTGAAAACCGAATGTGCTCAACTTCAGATTTGATTTCATCGAGAATGGCTTTGAGGTCTTCACAGCGGTCATGAGTTTGGTTGTGTAGATGATCATCACAGGTTGCTTGAAAAACTTTCTTGCTGCTGTTACTGAGAGAATACTTTATACAATGGTCTGGAATGGTTGAATTCTCAGATACGTTTACCTATGTCAAAAAAATATTATTAGCATAAAATACTGTGTTGTATATTGTGTATGCGTTATCCACTTCCATGTCCTTGGTGGTTCAGGAGTGCTTACCTTGTAGTCACTCTTCAAGTACTGTTTTCCTGATAAAAGTCTGCCTTTGATGTCTTCAGCTTTGAAGGAATCCATTCCACATTCGTCTAGAGTATTTACAATAAGCGCAAGTACAATAAGTGCCTCACCAGCATCAGCTGAGAAGTAGTCCAGACCCTGAAGACTCTTTCTGGTTGACGCGCTGCAAACTGATAGTACACGCCTTAGAGTGCTTCTACTCAGTGGTGTCTTTTCTGTCTCCTTGGCATAACTAAAGTACTGGTAAATTATCCGCTCAATTATTGATACTCTGATAACGTTTGGAATACGAATAACTTCGCCAGATTCAAGTTTCAGATTTTACTCGCCAAATGGTAAATCTTGCACTACATAGGAGCTTGTTATGAAATTAATGAAGTCTTCTAATTGGCACGGGTCAACTCTCTGTCTGTTCTGAGTACTGAAGGGAATTGGAGTACCACGACCATATAACGTTTTATGTTTCCTTGCTTCTGTAACTCGGTACTGTGTCAGACCTGGAATGAATTTGACCAACGTTTTGTAGGGAGCAAGGTCTGCCATAACAGATAAGATCTGCCTTCTAGTAGCCCATGTAGTTGCATTCTCATATGCTTCACTCAATGATTGGAGGTACTTTGACTCCTCGGGGGAGATTTGGTGCTCCTCAGGAATTATGCCAAGCCCACTGTCTAAAGAAGTATTATCTTTGAGAGACTTCCAAAGCCCCCCTGGATTGGTTGGAAAAATCAGTTTAATAACCACGGAGATGATGTCACATACTTTGCTAATGTACAATCTTTTAGTTCCTTCTGAATGCTCACTTATTTTATCGACTTTTGGTAAAGGATCAATACCACAACATGTAAGAAAATTGTTCAATAATTCTCTTCTGTATTCCAAGACATGTTCGCGTGTGTCATCTGCAATTAAACTTTCCCTCTGCCTCACTTGAGCTGTTAGGTTGATTGGCAAATCCGTGTCGTATTCTGGTTCTTCAATGTTCTAATGAAAGCATACAAAATGGTTAACTTATGAACTTTTAAAATCATAATCTTATAAAGTCACTTTGTGCATGCCTGCTGATCACTATATATCTTTGTTCTTGTAGTGCGAAGACGCTGTTGTCCTTTCAAAGACATTTCAATGCTCCCTTCTTGGGTTTCGCAGAGCTCCACCAATGTTTCTTCAGGACGGTCGATATTTATGATGGATATACTATTGAGCTTCTCACGGCAATGTCTGCAAATTGCTATCAAAAAAGGGAAACAAACACACCCGTTAGGTTGCGCATAAAAATATTAAAAAATGATATTCTCCTTACGCAATCCAACTGGTATACAGACTTCGGTCAGAATTTTGATTTTCACTGCATMCTGATGTGAGCAGCCTATATCGCCTTTCCTGCTTTTGGCTGAATGCGTCGAAATGGCAATGGGCACACAGCAGTTAATTTTTCCAGTTTTCTCTACCGCATCCCATATTCGTCACGATGAAAAGAGCAAATGCTGAAGGAATGAAACTTTTCAACATTTTCCAGTATACCTGGAAATATAGTAGCATAAATTAAAAAAAACCATATCGTATTGTTTGGTAAAACCTTTGACATTAAGACATACTAACATTGGACTTTGTTAGATGATGTGCTACAACTGACCAATTGTAAAATTAGAAGAATTCTTTTAAAAAATATGTGAAACAGGTTAAAAAAGCCTAGAAGAAAGGCGTAGAGTGTCATATCGCATGTCTCCAAATTAGTTTGGAGTCTCCAATTCATGGGTTTCCTGTGTTGCAAAAACTAATATTTGGAAAGAAAACAAACCCCACAAATCATCCCCTAAAGATTAAAAGATTAAAGAGAAATTAGGCAATGTTAAAATAAAAGATTAAGCTCTCAGTTCACGAAATACAATAGATATGCACTAAAC